CACACACAGAAATATCCACTTAAAGACGCACACTGACACAAATGAGAAACTTTTGTTTTAGGCAGTTGAAGCTGCAACATATACGAGTAGTAGAAGAAGAGACGACAGACAACAGAGCAGCTGTGACGCAGATCAGGTTTCTTTCACCTGTTATTTCTGCATGTAAAAATGAACTCTGGAGCTTGTATGAAGTCGTTTTCCATGCGTGTACTCATAGATATAAACACAACTATCACTGGATCACTGTGATACTGAAGAAAACTGAGAAACGTGAGGATGCTCAGGCACGTTCTGCAGCTAAAGCAGGAGCGTCTCTCCTCCTGTGGTTTCTAAACTGGTTCACTGAAGTACATCAGAGATAATAATATCCTCAGAGAGTGAGGTCACTCTGAATATATACATACATACATACATACATACATACATACATACATACATACATACATAGTGTCAGTGTGTTCAGTTTGAGTCACGACTCAGAAGGAGAATTATTGTTGAAGCAGATTAAAGCTCCATGAACAATAGAGTTATTGTTAAATGTGTCAAGAACTTTAAAATACAGTAGAACACTATTTAACAGGACAAAGAATACTGTTAATCTGTAAATTACTATTACATGAATTATACCATATTAAAGAAATACTTGTATCTAAAAATACAGATACTGCAACCAAAAATACACTACGGGATATTACTACGTTTAATCTTTCAATTAGAAAACATAAATACAGCGCACAGGAATAACTGTTAAAACGGTAGAACTGTAACCTACTGTAAAATAAATAACAGTAAATAACTGGCAGCCATTGACAAGTAACTGTAACAGTCAGTTACTTGTCAATGGCTTCTGTACTAGAAGAAGAAGAATCCCGGTGGGTTCGGGTGTTCAGAGGGTTAGAGTGGTTTTATTTGTTCTTCAGTGTCATTTAAAGCAAAATGTTTTATTTCAGGACCCCCCCCCCACCACACACACATATAACACTGTATGGATCTGCACACGGGGGAGGAAACCTGAAGCCAGAGGCTGTGTGTGTGGTATGGATTTCTCCAGGAGCCTGTGGTATTGCAGCAGGGCTGTAACAAGGAGCATAACTCCTCCTCTGATGCATTTAATCCGTGAGTCAGCGTGGGCGAGATGCAGAGAACACACACTCAACTCACTCAAATGAGACTCGAACAAAACAGAAAACACAGTAAAGCTCGTCCTCCACGACCAAGCAGGTCAAACTGTCCACTGTGGCTCTCATGAGAGATGTCCTGCATTCTCTCTAGTGTCCACCAGGGGGCGACTCCTCTGGTTGTATAGAAGTCTATGAGAAAATGACTCTACTTCTCTCTTGATTTATTACCTCAGTAAACATTGTAAACATGAGTTTATGGTCTCAATCTCTAGTTTCAAGTCTTCTTCAATACAGCATGATGTTCATTCAGTACATTATGGTCCATTTAGAGTCACACAGACCATAAAGCAGGGGATGCTTTAGGGCGGGGCTACACAGTGATTGACAGGTCTCTACCAGAGACGTATACGGCGTCTCTACGTCACTCCTCCTCAGTCCAGATATGGTCACTTCCTGTTCACTGGTTGAAAACAACAAGATGGTGACGGCTAAAACGCCGAACACGAGGCTTCAAAACAACGAGTGACGTCACCTACATACAGTCTGTGTTCACACCTGAAGGATAACACCTGTATGTGAGTAACACACGACCCAGCACCTCTACTCTGCTGTCGACATTTTTAATGACTTTACGTCCAAATTAAGAGCAAATTAAAAAATGTTAGAATCCTAGATCTGTTAATATGGATCATCAATGATCAATGAAAAAAATTAAAATCCAAACCCCCAAAAAAAAAAAAAGTTTTTTTTTTTTTTTTTTAAACCAACTAAAAATAATAATAAAAATGAATAATAATTTATTTATTTTTGCTTGCGGAAAAAGTAAAAAAAATTATTATTATTATTTTTTTATGCCAGCAAAAATAACAACTGAAGTATTTCATGTGTCGTAAAGCCACGTTTAGAGAAGTCTTCAATGTACTCACAATCCCTGTATATGTCACATGTAGGGTAACCTATGAAGAGCTGCTTCTATGACTCATCATTTAGACTTTCTATAGCAGCTGGAAACATCTGGTCATTGTTATGGTTACAGATGGACGCACCAAAAGTGTTGCTGTATTTTAGTTATTTTATTTTTGATGCTGGTGGAAAAAAAAGTAAAAAAATCAGTTCTCTTTTTTTTTACTTTTTTTCCGCCAGCAAATAAATAATAATAATAATAATAATAATAATAATAATAATAATTATAATTCTTTCTTTTTTTTTTTTACAGAAATAATCTTCCATAGTATATTACTATTGGACTGTGATGAAATGTGGTTCATCATTCGTGTTCCCGTCAGGATGAACCCGAACAATCATCCATCTTCTTCCTCATGTCTGGTTTCTCTTTGATCCACTTCCTGTTTTTTCACAGACTCATATTTATTTATTTATTTATTTATCTTCTCTTTTAAGAAACGCGCTTCATAAATATTACACTTGCTCCGTCTGGCGTGTTATTCTGACCGTCTCCTGACGCCGATACAGTGGGTACGGAAAGTATTCAGACCCCTTTAAATTTTTCACTCTTTGTTTCATTGCAGCCATTTGCTAAAATCAAAAAAGTTAATTTTATTTCTCATTAATGTACACTCGGCACCCATCTTGACAGAAAAAAACAAATGTAGAAATCTTTGCAAATTTATTAAAAAAGAGAAACTGAAATATCACATGGTCATAAGTATTCAGACCCTTTGCTGTGACCCTCATATTTAACTCACATGCTGTCCATTTCTTCTGATCCTCCTTGAGATGGTTCTACTCCTTCATTGGAGTCCAGCTGTGTTTAATTAAACTGATTGGACTTGATTAGGAAAGGCACACACCTGTCTATATAAGACCTTACAGCTCACAGTGCATGTCAGAGCAAATGAGAATCATGAGGTCGAAGGAACTGCCCAAGGAGCTCAGAGACAGAATTGTGGCAAGGCACAGATCTGGCCAAGGTTACAAAAGAATTTCTGCAGCACTCAAGGTTCCTAAGAGCACAGTGGCCTCCATAATCCTTACATGGAAGAAGTTTGGGACGACCAGAACTCTTCCTAGACCTGGCCGTCCAGCCAAACTGAGCAATCGTGGAAGAAGAGCCTTGGTGAGAGAGGTAAAGAAGAACCCAAAGATCACTGTGGCTGAGCTCCAGAGATGCAGTAGGGAGATGGGAGAAAGTTCCACAAAGTCAACTATCACTGGAGCCCTCCACCAGTCGGGGCTTTATGGCAGAGTGGCCCGACGGAAGCCTCTCCTCAGTGCAAGACATATGAAAGCCCGCATAGCCCGCACAGACTATGAGAAATAAGATGCTCTGGTCTGATGAGACCAAGATTGAACTTTTTGGCGTTAATTCTAAGCGGTATGTGTGGAGAAAACCAGGCACTGCTCATCACCTGCCCAATACAATCCCAACAGTGAACCATGGTGGTGGCAGCATCATGCTATGGGGGTGTTTTTCAGCTGCAGGGACAGGACGACTGGTTGCAATTGAAGGAAAGATGAATGCGGCCAAGTACAGAGATATCCTGGAAGAAAACCTCTTCCAGAGTGCTCTGGACCTCAGACTGGGCCGAAGGTTCACCTTCCAACAAGACAATGACCCTAAGCACACAGCTAAAATAACAAAGGAGTGGCTTCGTAAACAACTCTGTGACCATTCTTGACTGGCCCAGCCAGAGCCCTGACCTAAACCCAATTGAGCATCTCTGGAGAGACCTGAAAATGGCTGTCCACCAACGTTCACCATCCAACCTGACGGAACTGGAGAGGATCTGCAAGGAAGAATGGCAGAGGATCCCCAAATCCAGGTGTGAAAAGGTTGTTGCATCATTCCCAAGAAGACTCATGGCTGTACTAGCTCAAAAGGGTGCTTCTACTCAATACTGAGCAAAGGGTCTGAATACTTATGACCATGTGATATTTCAGTTTTTCTTTTTTAATAAATTTGCAAAAATTTCTACATTTCTGTTTTTTTCTGTCAAGATGGGGTGCTGAGTGTACACCTCTTTTCATTCCTGCATAATTTGCCTAAAACGCCTATCAACCGCGTACCCAAAGTAAACTGACAGCTCTTATTGAACCATTGGGAGTACATGTATGGTTTTAGTCTTTATTGAACAATAACACTCTGAAGTTTCTTCACAAACAGTCAGAATCACCGTAAGTGCCATTAGCATTGAGCTAATGCGTTTTCAGCACAGTGAAAGAGAAGCATTTTACTTCCGCCTAGATTTGTTTTGGCCAACAGATGGCAGCAGCTATCTATGGCTGGGACTTACAGGCTTGACAAGACTCTCATTCCACAGCCAACAGTCATGACACCTAGTATAAGTTCAAATTTGATAACAATACGACAGAAAATTAATATTTTACACGTGGTTTACTAAGAGTGCGGCTGCGTAAAAATTGACTCATGGTTTCCAGTTCAGGTTAGAAAACTTTCCCAGCATTCAATCTGATAAATCTGCATATCCTTGGCTTCGTAATTTCATTGGCTATGTGGAGCCTGAGTTTGAACAGGATCTGTTGCGATTGGCTCGAGCTATACCCAAAGAAGTGAAGCGGGCATTGTCTTTCAAAGCGGACTCTCGTTGGCTGTTCCAGACTGTGGCCGGGCTATAGAAGCTCCTATTGGGTCAAATGAGGTGTCAATCTAACCGGCGGAATGTAGGCTCCATTTTGCGATGAAAATCTCCGCTCTGTTGACACGGAACGTGAAGTTATGCCCAAAATATGATCGCGAGAGGAAGTTAATGAGAAATAATATGAACTTTTTTGATTTTAGCAAATGGCTGCAATGAAACAAAGAGTGAACAATTTAAAGGGGTCTGAATACTTTCCGTACCCACTGTATGTAAATGTGATCATTAAAGTTCAGACCAGATTAAAAAAAAAAACTGAAAATATAAACGCAGGAGAAGATCGTGTGTGTGTGTGTGTGAGAGAGATGAAAGAGGCAGGCAGAGAGATGGAGAATCCCCTGTTGGGATTGGCTGACAGGCTGCTGATGCATCATGGGAACAAAGTGACCAACAGTGAGGCGATTAGCCCAGAGCTGCTGTGGTAATAAGGGAGCATGTGCGACAGGTGGACGTTCAATAAACGGGTGTTCATCTGCATACTAGTTAACCAGGTTAACCCCTGTGTGTGTGTGTCACCTGTCTCTTTATCAGTTCCAGTGTCTGCTGTCCCTCCACCATCAGTCTCTCCACAGCTTTTGGATCCTCCACTTTCCTGTTGGCCCTGAAGGCATCGCGCACCCGCCGCACTGCATAGGTCCTACACACACACACACACACACACACACATAAAAAGACCAAATATGTGCAGCGGAGACACAAAAACCCTCAGAGTACAAACAGAAACATGAAGATCATCAGAGGTGAGACAACATGGAGACTCCATTCACAACATTTTAATATGAATACATAAGAGAAGCAGGCTGCAGCACCGTCTGGCATATTCAGGTCATTCCACCACATCAAACTCCTTCATCGCTGCTTTTTCACCACAAACTGGAGCTTCATGAAGTTAGAACCTCAACTGGTCTCAGACGGAGACACTCGGTCTACAGTTTACCCACCAACAAACCATTCACTGTTACAAACAGGAGTTAACTACTTTTGTAAGGGGCTCCTCGGGGGTGCAATGCACGCTGCTACAGCTGGTGCCAGCGGGACAACGGAGAGAATCAGATTACAGTCTGTATCAATAGTTATTTCACTTTAATGTTCAGATGTGTGTGTGTGTGTGTGTGTGTGTGTTCTCTCCAGACACATGAGGTCCACAAGGCTGGTGGACCCAAGAACCAGAACTTGTCTTGTTATTGGACCAGCAGGGGGGGGGGGGCGACTTCTGATCTGTCTCCTCAATAATTCAACACAGCAGCATCTCCACTTGCAGGCTGGAGGCTCTCTGAAGTCCATGTAGAGCACCGAGTGCTATGATAGATGAGGACGCCGTCCGAACACACACACACGTGGTTAGGACGGTAGGAAGTATTATCTTTATCACTGATCAATACTGTAACTCCTGTTCCTAATCAAAGCAATCCTTCCTTCCTCATTTCCTTCTCTCACGTTGACAAAAGTTAGTTTCACAAAATTCAAAAACAAAACACGGAGGAAACAAAACAAAGCAGACGTCCTCGTCATCACTTCTTTACACAAAGGCTCATCTCTGTTCACAGAGGAACGTTCATCCAGTCAACGCTGAGACTTATAAACTCAATTAAAGTATATGAAGTATATGAAATATGGAGCAGTAGGTCGATACAAACCAGGTTTTAGGACACGATGAATAAAACATAACCAGGAGCGGCTTCAACGGATAAAACTCGATATTAATCCAACAACAACTCTCTGAACTCAATGTTTTATTACACGATGCTGGATTGAACAACGAAATGTAGTTAAAGCTCACACGCACGCGCCTATACGTCATCATCTACAGACACTAAACTAACCAACAATATTCACCGTATCATAACAACGACACCACAGACAGGTGAACACAGTAGTCACGCTGCTGCAGAGGTAAAACAAAGCACTTCACTTACCGAAGCTGCTGTTCACTTAAAGACAAAGTCCATCCTCCTTTCTTTGATTACTAACAGTTTAATGACGCGGTTGAACAGAACATCGGTGCGGTTCAGTTCCAGCCAGAGGTCCTCCTGCGAACGTGTTCGTTGAGCTGTAGATCCACTCGGGTCTCTCCAAAAGTTTTCAAAAGCACCGTAGCTTGTGAGTGTCCTGCCGTGCTATGGTGTCTTGTTGCTGCCTTGGTTAGCCACCTCAGGTTAGCGTAGCGTAGCATAGCTCTAAACAGCTCCAAACAGGGCTGCTAGCTGTGGGGTTGGCCGACCCTTTCTTACGATGTCCAGCTTTTCATGAAATGTCCTTCTTGAGAAAGATGTTGTCACTAACTCCCAAATCCGTTTCTCCTCCTTCAGCCAGTGAGTGTTAAAAAACAAAGCTACACCAAGCAAAACGCTAACAATGTCATGTCAATGTCAGAACGTCTTACATATCTTTCAACTTGAACTCTTACGCTGCTTCAGCTTCAAAACAGTGACGCTAGCCCACTGACCAATCACGTACTTGTAGGCCAGCTAGCAGCTCTGACACGTCAAAGAATACGCCCAACATGTCAAACTAAAGATCTGATTGGTTGAACACTATGACAATAAACAATATCGTTGATCAACAATATCGTCCCCATTCGGTGCTTCATGGTGATATCTATTAGTTATTTTTTTTACCCTATTCACCTGTAGTGTCTTCCTTTAAGTACTTACACATACTTTTACTTCACTGAGGTATTAAAGGCAGTACTTTAACTTGTAGAGGAGTATTTCCACTGTGTAGTATTACTACTATTACTGAAGTAAAGTATCTTGAGTACTTCTTCCTCCACCACATGCTGTGTTTTGTAAGCACATTGAATAACAGTTATGACACCGAGTCGGTCCGGTCCGGCCGATGTAAACAAACGTAAACAACGTAAAAACAGAGCCGTTAGCTGCTACATTAGCGTCTTTAAACCTGACCGCCAGGTGTGTTCGGATCAGTCTGACGCCATCGCTCACCTGAAGTTGTACGAGGGGAACTTCTTGCTCTCCGTCAGCATCACTCTGTACAGAGAGATCACCTGTGCTCGTGCGGACACCGCCATGATGTTGCTATGCTAACGACGCTAACTCCTCGACCGTAAAGAGCTCTCAGAAGGACCCTCGGTGACGCGCATGCGATCTCACTTACGCCTGAACAGAAATAACCCAAATCTCCTATCTTATTACTATTTAGAATTCAATATTTTGAATTTAATACATATTAAAAGAAGCTACATTTAAAAGAAGTCACCAACAAATTAGATTAGTTCATTTTAAACACGGTTTTAAAGTCCGGTGTGAACACAGGCGCGCGCCCGCGGACTCATCAGCAGCTCCACGCTGGAGAAGCGACAGAAGGTGAGTTAGCTTCACGTTAACCTCTTAAAACCTGCACAATAACACACCTGCGATGCGTTTTAATGAATGAGTGACACTGTGCGGCTATAGCGGCTGACTTTAGGATAATATCTGGCAGCATGTTGAGCTCTTAAAATGCGTTTTTTCTCCTCTAAAACGTTGTGTTTTGGGTTAGCATGTTAGCTGCTCTGCTACAAACACAGCTGACAGGACTGCAGCTCCACAGTGAGTCTGTTTTTTAAAGTGTGTTATGATGACGTTAAACTGCACACAGACGCAGTGATACGTCAGGAATGTCCCTAAAAAGTGCAGGTGAGTTATCATGCACGTGGTGCTGATGTTCCTGTGTGCACGTGCGTGTGACCTTTACTGTCAGGTTGTCTCACCAGGTGATAAACTGACCTCACCATGAGTCAGCGGTGGAGAGGATTCATACACACACACAGTTAGTCACATGATGAGCGTCAGAGGAGATGTTTCTGTGAAGAGAGGACATGTTGGATAGGACGCAAGAAATACCGTTAATACACGACTCATTGAGAGAGAGAGAGAGAGAGAGAGAGAGAGAGTGTGTGTGTGTGTGTGTATACAGTATGCTCTTTAGCAGTGGATGTGTGAAAGGTCAGAGACACTTCCTGTGTGTTGATGTCCTGCTGTCTTTTAGTATAAAGGTCAATAGCACTGCTGTGTGTGTGTGTGTGTGTGTGTGTGTGTGTGTGTGTGTGTGTGTGT